AATATATATATATATATATATATATATATATAAATAGAAAAAGGATTTAATCACTACCTGAGAGCTCGACCCATTGTTTCATAATTCATTCCCGGTTTATTCTTATGCAAACCCCAAAGGCGTGAAACGGCTTTCGAATCGACCAGTTTGAAAATTCCTTTACTATGATCTAACCATTTGATATATTTAGGCGAATATTCCTTGTTTTGCAATAAACGCAACAGAAATTCCCATAAATAATTTACTTGTCCTAAAAAAGACATTTTCAGGTAATCTCTCTGACCAAACGCTTTTGTCACACTGCCATATTGCGCGTTTTGATGGGAGTGAAATGGGTTTCACTCGATGCGGTATGTCAAACTGTAAAATCATCTGACAATGACAGTGGAAAAAATCTTCTAAGATTGGAGAATATATATTGAGTTAAAATGCGAAAGCTAAAAGAAAACAAGAACCTTCACGACTTTTGCGCCTTCCAGTGCCTGAATGATTAGGCATTAATGATGTAGGCTCACTGTATCGACGACTCATAGACATTTGTGCCGAATGTGATGGATACGGTGAACAGAAGAGTTGACTGGGAATTGGTACTGTTGAAGATGTACCTAAAACAAAAATCAAATGATATAATGAATTTTTTCGAAATATTTGAAAAATTTTCAAAAGCAAAGAAGTAAGTTAAGTTATTGAAAAATGAATGTATCGGTCGATACCAATTGAGAATGAACCATAAAGAATGTGAATAATAAGGGATGAAATCGGAAATCACTTATCATTTCTACTGTGAGATAATTCTGATTCATCCTCTATTGTTTTTTCATCATAAAACGATCGATGGAAATGTTAAATAAGAGGAGGAAAAAGATACCAGAATGTGGCGGGATTATTCCATGCAAGTTAGTACACAGTATATCCTGTAATGACGAATGATAGGCATGTGCTGGTGATCGAGGCGCTAATGTCGTAGCATCCAGAGTTGATCCACCTTTCAAACAATCAGTAAAATTAGGTGAAATGAAATCGGTATGAGACCAATTTGTAGTAGTAGTAGTAGTTGTTGTTGCTGGATGATAAAAAAATGCTGTTGATAACCAGGGTGACAGAATTCGAGCATCTGCAAAGGAAAGGAAATAGCCCTTTAACCTTTAAAGGTTTTGTATAAAATTTATAATCGAGTGGAAATGTTAGATAAATTCAAATTTCAGTGTGAGATATTTTAGTTCAAATTTTTAAAATATTTCAATAAAGCAGAAGTTTGTGATTCATTCCTTCATCCATTGCTTATTTCTAAGATTTTGCAGACTGTTGAAGAGATAGAAAAGTGGCGAATAATGAAAACTGTGAGATGGAAGAGAGAGAGAGGGAGAGAAAGAGAAGCGGAAAGTGGAGAAACTTGAAGAAATATTTGATATAATTTGAATTCTGGGTGCTTCTTTTCCTTTGAACTCAATTGTCACTTTGTCAACGTCTTATCAACGTACAAGATATACATTATCAGTTATCGAGAGTGTAAAATCACAAAACGTAAACGAAACAGTTAGCTGGTGTAATACAGTCCTACTATCATTATACACCTAATTAATGTGACCTTTCCATGTCACTTTTTCCTCTTAATCTTTCATTATTTTACTTCATAAATTTAGTTGTATTTTAAAACTGAAAGTATTGTTACAGTAAAATTATGCAACAAAACATGTCATTATATGAAATTGTAATATTTGCAACACTTATATTTTATTTGTATATTTGTAACTGGCTAGTTTAATTTATCTTTTCAATTTCAGAGTGAATACTGTAAGCTTAATTTTAATTTTTTTCCTTTCTCATTTTGTAACCATAAAGAAATGCTCAAATAACTCAAACATCTGGAATACATATCGGAGGAATTCATAAGTTGACATTAAAGGCAATGCTATCAAACTTTTCCTTTCTTTTTTTGAAAATATTTTTTTTGTCGTAGCAGGAAATTATAATTTCAGCAATGATAATTAAAGAATTAGACCGGATCAGAATTAAACTATAATTTCCGTCATTGGTTTGTGTAAAAGTGGAGCAATGTGTTGAAATCATAAATTTGAAATAAATCTTCCTTATTCATTTTTCTCATTTCCTTTTTTAAAAAATTCTTCTCCTAATGCTGATAATTTAGTGATAAAAGTAAATTATTAGTTTAAAAGGTATTAGGGGAAGAAAAGGAAACTTCATCAGATTCATTTCGTCTATTTTACGAAATGTTGGTTAATTGATCAGATCAATTTCCTTTTTTTTTTTTTTTTTTCTTGTTAGCTTCTTTGATCGTTGTTTAATCTGTTGCCATAATTAGACAATGTGAAACTTTATAGAAATTTTAAAACTGCACTTCAACTGTACGTCATTTCTTCACTGAACAATATCAACAATTTTAACTTTGATCCCGAAAGTATGTTATAGCTACCAGTAAATTGGCTTGTAGTTTTTTTTTCCTTTTTTGAATGACAAATTATTGTCAAATTAAATTAGTTGATCAAAATTAAGCACTGGGAAACTTATGCAATGATATTTGGGGAGCACTAATGTTTGTTGCAATATTGCATCATTCATATTGATATGAAATTTTGATCAATTTAATTATTCTAACTTAAGCTAAATTTAAGGATTGAATTTGAAATAATGCAATTATTCCTTACTCCCTTTCCATTCTTCATTGTTTCAGACAGAATCCAAATGTTTTTTCACAACAAAGGATCATACTTTATCTAAATTCTAATAGGATAATAAGCATTGTATCTCGTTTAGATATATTCAGGAATGTTTGCATATTTGTCCATGTGAGTGTATCAGGCATAAATCCGGAATACATGAAATAGGATGAGAAATAATTTTAGCAATTTAAAATGCGAAAATAATGATGAGAGTTGAGGATTTTTTTTGAGGAAATGTAATGGGATAAATACGAATTGCGGATGGAATGTTGCTGGATGAATGAAATGAGTGAGGTTGACGAAGAAGGATGGCGGAGAAGATCCGTGAAAATGAAAATGACAATAACAGTAGAGTCATAATACATCCCGGAAAATGCATAAATACATGAATTTTCATATTAAGAAAATTCAATGAAACGAAAAATTCTCAGGTTAGGACAGTAGAGGAAGTATCAATAACAACATTGTGACAATTATTTGGATCATCACCATTGCAGGACAACAAATGAGGTAGAGTAGGATAAAGGACAGAGGAATGGAAGGAAAAGAATTATCAAAAAACGTCATTGTTTCATACGCTTCATTAAATGAACGGTATGATGATTTTCCCTTTGTTCCTTTTTTTTTTTTTTTTTTTCTTCAAACCAAACAATTTTATATCCTCAAGCTTTTTTAAGTATCCTGAAAATTCTTCCCATTTCTTTCTTTTTCTTTTTTTTTTCTCTCAAATTTGACCTGAATAGTAGGCGAATATTATAGTGGAAAAGATTAAAATGAAGAAATATTTCAATAGAATTAATTTTAAATTAAAAGGAAAAAGTTTGAAATTGAAATTATCATGAAAAGAAATGAAAAACAAATTTACATTTGCACAATTCATCTTTTCACCTTTCAACATTGATATAGCAATGTTTTTAAATTCAGTCTTCATAAGTTAAACTAACTAATTGTTTTGAAATTAAAAAAGAAGAAAAAAAGTAACTGGAATGTTCAGATTATCAGGAAATTTGAAGAATGTAATAAGAAAGTTGAAGATTACTTAACTTTACAAAGTTAATTCAACTCAATTAAGGGATACCTGAGGGATAATGCATTACTTTTGCATATGCCTAAACAACCATAGGTTATTAATTTCAAATTTTAAAATTTCTCTATCCAGACTACTATTTGAAAGAGGGGGTTATCTTTCATTGTAATCTTTTAATTTTATAATAGATCATTAAGTTGATGTTATCTTCTTACTTTTAAAAAATGTAACAAAAATGCCTTAAAAATTAATACGCCCTTTATAGAGCAACAATTTCAGGTGGATATTGGTTTGTTTAATGTGAAATGTTTTCCACTTCCTTACTGGTAAAGATGATGGGATTGACAAATTTGTTTATTTCATTCATTTATTCAATAATTTGATTTGGACAATGGAAATGATCAAATGATATCAAATTTTGAAAATATTGCTTCCCTTCCCTTCACGGTCATCATTCTTACAGTCTTCTTCAGTATGATCATATTAATATCATCCTAATCGAATACCAACGTTGTCCCGAAAAAGTTCAGTGCCACGTCTGGAGAAGTCACCCATAGATTTACGGAGAAAAAGGAAAAAGGCATTAAAATTGTAACGGCATTCCACCCTGGAGATAATGAAAACAAGGTCAATCGGTCAATGTTAAAACATTGGATAGGCTTTGCTCCTTGTTGTACCTGCCTCTTATCATTATAAGAAGGTAGCTACAGCATCGCTGATCCTCGTCCCCTATTTTCCCATAATTATTACTCACCAAAATGATCAAAATTCATGTTCCAAAACTTGGACGAATCTTACCATAGGAATTTCATAGGTTGACCTAATTACATGATAGATATTGCAAAAGCAACACTACCTGTCACACATGCAAACGACAATCTATGGATATGGTAAAGATGTTGTTTCAAAGAATTGCCAGTAATTCCAAAATACTAAAAGATGCTTGCATGCTATGCAAAATAAGCAACTGGAATATGTGCTGATAATGGGAAGATTCATAATACAATGATTGTGATTCACAGATAAGATTAACACAAAGTCTCTGATGATTAGAAGCCAAGGATATCGTTGTGAATCAAGCCAAGGATCAATAAAACATTTGCTTACTATTTATTCCCGTTTGCTTACGGAATATTCCTTCCAATAAAACATTTCATATCTTGAATTCATCCCTATCTTTTGTCCCTTTCGACCTCTCTCACATCTCATTTCGCTAATAATTCAATAGTATTTTAATGAAGGGATAATTATCATATCAGGAATAAAATGGAGGGAGTAATTATCATATCAAAAATTATCACCTGTCACAAATATCATCATTAAATAACAGAATAGATACTCAAAGAGAATCAGCAAGCGAACGCTGTTGTTGTTTGTTGTTTGTTGTTGTTATACTTTCTTGTTAGTGTAAATTATGAATGTTTAATTTGTTTGGATAGAAGATAATGATAGTAATTTTAGAAGCCAAAAGAAGAGGGTTTTAATGGAAGAGAGAGAGAGAGAGAGAGAGAGAGAGAGG